AAAAAAAAAAAAAAACCCCCCCCCCCCCCCCCCACCCCTTCTAAATGTAATAAACGCCCATCTGCCTAGTAAGGTGTATTTAGTGTAGTACTTACATTTGCAGGAACAGTATATCCAGATAAGGCAACGTCCTGGTCTAATATCCTTTCGAGGGTTCCTACAGTAGGGTTCAGTCTTCAATGCATGAAACAATGTATGTTATGCAAGCAAAGAGATGCATAGATAAAATTAAATTCGATTAAAATACCTTAAAATTGGCAATATTTGGGAGTTTAAGCATAGACATTTTTGGGCGACGCAAATCAACCGGAAGTGGATTTTTTTGCAGTCTTTGGCAGTGGTTTCGTCTAAATTTTTGGGTTATTCGTCTCTATCAGGGCAAAGACACCAATGAGCATAACGAATTTGGCAGCGTCAAGATATTCTAAAAGGGAAAACGCCTCACAGTATGTACATCACTTAAATAGAACGCTTTTGCTTTAACTCGCTATTATATAAACCAAACCCTCGAAATACAGCTGTAATAAAGCCCGTAAAAACGCAGAAAAACAATTAAACAAACAAACAAACAAAACTTTACAGTGAATTTTTTTCAATATGTTTTACCTTAATGATTCCTTGAGAGACGCCTTCAGATAGTGAAGCTTTGCAAGATTGTGCGGTGTAACTTCTCCGTCTATCCCAACAACGCTCTGTATCTCCTGGTAAATTTTTTCTTGCACGTGAGGAAATCTTGCCAAGTTATATAACCACCAAAGGGCGGTTATTGATGTCTGTTATCAGGAAGAAGTTTTAAAAAAGTTGGTTTATCTCTCTGCATACTTTCCTTATAATACTTTCCTGATAATACTCCCTTTTTGTAAAAATAACCCACCTTATAATTGTAAGGCGAATGTACAAAGAGACTGTAAAAAAGTTCAGTCGATGTAAAGTATAGAAGGAAAAAAGCTTACCCGATTTCCTGACTCTATACGTAAAATGCACATTAAGCCGGTCACATTTTTGGCCTTTGAGCTGGTAATATCAGGAGTGGTAATATATAACTTATTCACTCAAGAGCAGTCTCGCATTTTTCATCCCGGGATGTCGCCCTCGCTTCTTGCGTCTCGCGATCTTGCTGCTCGCACGCACACCACTCGACCATGAAAACTACATTTTCCTCCAAATTTCAGGTAGAAAGGATTTACGCTAATATCTCCGAAGGAAAAATAAGAAAATACTGAAGGAAAATATAAAAAAGTTACGGGATGATAAAATTGCTAACAAAATTGATGCGGAGCCCCATAGCTAAGGAAACGTGGTAATCTACCCATCCAAGAAAATTTGGTAATCACGTGACCGTACACCGACCAACCGACCGACAGACCGTCCGTCGGCACCACAGGCATAACAATGTAAAATAACTCAATCAAAAGATATGGCGATGCAAATGCAACTCAAGTTTTTATTTGGAAGGAAATCACTAAATTAGATCTATTAGTCTTGAAGCCATTTTCATTGTCGTCCCCGTTTAGCATTACACGATTTAAGTTTTTTGTTTTTGTTTACACGTATTATTAACCAGAGCTACGCTTTTAGCCCTGGCTAAATCTATATATTAATGATAATGCTTGTAAACGGGAATAAAGATGACGATAATAATAACAGCAATTACGATGGTCTGGTAAGTAGCGTATCATGCAATGATGATGACATATAGCACTGATTGACTACACCATTCATTAAATAATAAATAATTATAATTCTCTTTTTCTCTACGCTCACTTGATCAACACCATTAGCCACCACATCAATAACATGGCCATTTACTTCCTCAGGTGTCAGATCTTCCTTAGTGAGTAAATACGTCAGCACTGAAACAACTAAAAATGAAAAAAAGCAGAGATAAGAATGGCCTGTATTGCATGTGTTTTCTTCAGGTGTACGAATCGTTTCTGCTAGCGTAACGGTCATCATGTTGAATTCTAGAAAAAAAAACAACTTGTCCCTAGCCTGCGAGCAAGCTCTCCTATTTGGGCGAGTCAAGTGAGTCTCGCGAAAACGCGCGAGGCTCGTTTCGCTTGCCCAAATAGGAGAGCTTGCTCGCAGGCTAACTTGTCCTAGGCCGGATACCATTTCTACCCTCCCCAATTTTCCTCTGCAGTGACAGTGCTGTCAACTCTCCCGGACAATCTGGGAGACTCCAGATTTTGGACCGTTTCTCCCGGTCTCCATATTAGAGTTGAAAATTTCCCTGATCATCGCCGCAGTTTGTCATTTCTTATAGACTTCACTCTCCGACCCTATAAAATTTCAATTTGTTGCGCTGTTTGAAGTAATTTTACCGTTAACATGGGAATTAAGCTCCCTCATCAGGGCTTCTGATATTTCGCGCGGTCGCGGACCCGCGAAATTCAGGTATTTCCGCGAAATACCGCGAAATTCCCAAAAAAACACGAAATACCGCGAAATCCGCCAGAAATATTTCCAAATACATGTCGGCAAAACATATTTAATACTTATCTGGGCTATTAGACCTGTTCTATTCACCCCAAACGTCCAAATTTATCTTGAAACTTCGTCACTGCAACGAGTAAACAACGTCTCAAAACTACCAGGCGTTCTTAGATGAACGTTGCGAAAAACTGGGCACTAACCATAATGTTAACGGCTTTAGCATTCGGTCATTTCTCGAGCGAACTGTTGTTGAAAGAGCAAATGATTATCCCTGTTAAAAAAAAACCGTTCACCAACGCTGGTCATATCGACGCAAAATTGATCGATTTTAGCAAAATTTGCCAAAAAAATTCAGCGAAATCGGCTGTTTTTTACTGATTGTTTCTTGGCGAATTTTCCCCCCGAAATTTCCCGTGAAATCGGCCGATTTTTCTTAGAATTTGCCCTGAAAATCCTTCGAAATTTGACTTTTTTCCGCTAAAATCCCGCGAAATCGGCCGATTTTTGAGCGAATTTTGACTTTTTTCCCGCGAAAATCCCGCGAAATCGGCCGATTTTTCCGCGAATTTGCCCCTGAAAATCCCGCGAAATTTTGCTTTTTTTTCCGCGAAATATCAGAAGCCCTGCCTCATAAACTCTGGTATGCCACTGTAATTTAAGCAAATCAATCAGAATCAAGAGTATTTTTTGCTCAAATGAACTCATGTGCCGTGCGATATTTCGTCATCTATCATTCCTTCCCAATCAATTCTCAATATTTGAAGACGTTGGGGGTTGACAGCCCTGGCAGTGTGATATAAAGTCAAAGATGGCGGCAACGATACAAAAAACAACAGCAAAAACAAAGACAAGGAGCCTCCAAAATAAGCCTCAGCATTGAAGGCTATTATAAGTTCCAACAATTATTTGATCTTGCAGCTATCCAGGTCATGTCTTCATGTGTCCATGAACTCTCAGCGAAGAGTGAGATAATAAGGGGACTAGAGTCTCCAGAAACCCTATTAAATTTCACCAGCCCCTTACACTGCCCCAGCCCCAGCCCCCTCCCTCCCCCCCCCCTCTCCTTTAATCTGTTGACCTTACAAGCAGTGGTGGGGAACCAGGAAAGTATAGGGGTGTGGAGGGGAAAAAATCAGCGGCATGCCACCTATCCTTCTATGACTCCCCTAACTTCCTACTCTAACCAAAAATTTTTCAGGATCCAAAACTAAAACTGGTATTATATAGTGGGAGTATTGTAGTCTGCTTATAATGTAACTGTTTTTATCTTGTAAGAAGGAAAAAACAGCTGTATAAATAGGAGACTAATGTTATAGCTTCATTTTATTATTTATTAGTACTCTATTTAGAGTTATGCTGCTTGTTTTATTAACTGTGCTTAATTTTCTTAATTTTTATTAAACTTTCTTGTAATTCATCCAGCCCAGTCAGGCTCTCATAAAAGTACAAGTAGGTTAATCAAATTTTTGACGCTAGTATATATCCAATCAGCTTGCACAAACCTTGAGAGTTATCAGAACTGTCAGTTCCTTTCTCTGCCATTTCTTTTAGTTCCATCATCTTTTTTTCCACAAAACCTTGCCCTATGTCTAAGATAGTATCACCACACTTTAGGAACTTTTTGAAAAGTGGTGTGTCAATGTATGGCCCAGCAATTCTGTGCGCTGCACTGAAAATAAGCTTGTGGGAAAGGGCAAAGAAGTTTTGAACCTCATTAATGAACTGCAGAGCTTCTGGTGGGATTGGATCGTCATACAATCCAAGACGGGTGTCAAATGCCACAGTACCAATACCTGTACAGGCAAAAAAATATACCAATATGCTGAATAAACATTACAATAACTTTAAGGCTAACCTTCATTCTTTTAGCCTATAAGAAAACAACCGTATCAATGGTTTTTCCATGAAATAGTGTCTGAGTTCAAATGACCTGCACAGAAATTCCAGAGTCTCTAGTGGCACGACCAACCACAAATACTTCCCAGATGTAAGTATGGAATTTCTGTGCTCATTCCCAAGATATCATTTCACAGAGAAACCAGTAAAAGTGCAGACATCATGAAATGTTAGCTGTTGTTGTCAGCTGTTGTTTGTCATTCAGTAAGCTAAATTTGCAGTCAATTGTTTTTAATATTTGAAGAGCTAGGTTGCATTTTGTTCTGACTGGTGGGTTAATTCCATGAAATAATGTTCTTACGAAGAAACTGATCCTCAGCATGCAGTGCATCTAGATATGCTGGTGGGTGTGGGCCTAAACATATCTCAGACCTTTGGTGCCTCAGGTTTCCATTTAATTTCCTCATCCGCTTCTTGATCAATGTGCTCAATTATAAAAAATATTGCTGAATAAAATTAATGAGGATTAACCTCAGGCTTTACTGGTGGCATTTTTTTTAAATGTTACACAACCAGTGTTTTTAATAATGGACGGTCAGAACCTGAGAGAAGTGAGATGGCATATCAGTATATAAATACATGGTGCTGGCACTTTAATTAGTGCATTTAACTCGTTTAAGCCCCAGTATCCACATACAAATTCTCCAAACTGATCTCCATTCATTTCCTTTAAGAATTAGTTGAGAGAATTTAATAAAACATCAAGGCATTTTCTCTTTCATGATCATTTTTTATATTCTCACAACCTTATCTCTTGACAATGTATGGACATTGTTAGGAGAAAATTGCTGTTGGACACTATTGGGACTTATAAAGGGTTAAGTCCATACGATACTGACAACTTACTTTCAGTTGACCATTTACTCAATTCCCCTTCCAAGTCAGGAATGTGATCATTTGGTCCACAATCTTTGTTCAGTTGAACAAGCCTTGCTACCGTATCCTTGGTAACAGCATTAAAGTTATCAATGTTTTCCTCTATTATTTCTGGGAGCATTATTTTTGGAGCAATACTCTTTCGTATTCTGTACCATTCTTCTCCGTCCCTACGATTATCACAAAAACAAAACAAGTAAAGGGTTGGATTGTGCCACACTGTAGCATTAAAATGCCATAATAATTAGCATTAAAATGAATGAATATAATATAAACAATTCCCATTCCCACTCCCCTACAAAAATGGTCTCATGATTATTACTTCCCCACCTCCCTAATGGAGTTGTCTTGCTTAATGTCTTCTACCCTAACCCTAACCCTGAAACAGCATTCTTTCAAAAAAAAAAGACAAACCCCAACCCCAACCACACGTTTTACTGACACCTATTTGAATTTGTGCATTTCTTAATGCATACACACCCCACTCAGCTTCCCATCCCCACCCTGTTTCTAAGCATTTTGCTCTTTGATGCATTTGAAAATGTTTATTATTTTCTGCTTCATATCATGAAGGCAGGTGCAATAAGTATCTGCCCTTTCAACTGTGTTTGTCTTGAAAAGTACTGTCACCTTGGAGAGGGGACATTCCATTTTTTATCTGCACCCAGTCCCCCCCCCCCTTCCCTCCCTCCCTCCCTCCCTCCCTCAGAGTGAGTTTCTGAAAAGTAGGGCTAAGATGTAATTTGGACCCTTCAGACATTTCTTTCAAAATTACAGTCATGCATCAAGCCGCTAACAAAAAATTAGGGGTTCAGACTCCAGCCATGTTCGAGGAAAGGGTGGAGAGGGATGGGCAATAACCTTAACCCTAAATAACCCTAACCTAACACTAACCCTAACCGTAACCCCCAAAAAAGCATGATTTTAAAAAAAGATAACATAGACCCCGACCCCAGCCCCGCGTTTTACTGACATCCACTTAAAATAGCATTTATACCATTACGTAACATTTACTTACGCACTAAAGACTCCGATGAAATAATTCCTCCTTTTGCGGTGCTCAATCCAAATATCTATCGGCGGTCTGCGTGGATATCTTCCTTCAGAACGGAAAACTTTCTCAAAATCATCAGGATCGATGGTGTGAACCGCAGGTTCGCCGCCAAACAATATGTCGTCCCTAAAAATAGGACCATGCTCCGTGAACAGTCGATTAGTTAGTTTGTAAACTTTGGTAAAACCTTCGGTTTCCTTAAAATATTTAATTGTCGATGTCAAGCCAACATCGGGCGATGGAATGTCACGAAATGGTCGCGCTTCAACTTCTGCAGATTTTGCGGGCCTTGGGTCGTCGACAATTTCCCGCTTTACCAAAGGACTGGCCTCTGTTTTTTGCCATCTCCAGGACGAAGTCAGGCATTTTAGATGCCGAGCTTTCGGGAGGAGAAAATTCGCTCGAAGAGAGGCGGCACACGGAGAAAACATATTTTCAATCACCTGATTCTTAAGGGACAGGTTATTAACCTCGCTCTTTGCTCCCTCGATCCCCTTGACGACGTGGGACGTAGACTATGTGCTTCTCAAATTTAAAGTTGAAACAGAACCTAAAAGTTCTGCGGTATTGTATTAGCTCCACTGCGTGGGATTTGAAGCAAATAATTATTATTAAGCTTATCGTTGATGCATCGTTCGATTGATTTTTCAAGTCTCTGCAGGAGATTTCTGGTACCCAGGCCTTTCTCCAAACTCTACAGAGATCTGCGTGAAGCGTGATTCATATCAGGTGCCGATTACTTTTTCGGTTCCTGTTCGTATCTCATGTTTTTGGAGGTGTCCAGTCAGCCAAGGCATAAATTCATTTTAAGGTAAAGCCAGACTAATTTCTACACGTGTATTTCAGATAAAACTGTTATATTTTAAAGACTCCCTCTTCCCAGCACCCCACCCCCGCCCCCACCCTGAAAAGAGGTTATTTAACTTAATAGCTCCTACCCTAATCTATGCATCAGGAGCCCACAACTCAGGGAGTGCAACCGCCATGCTTAGCATTTTCACAGATGAAGTTATTTTTGGCATCATTCTGAGCACATTTCCCCTCGAAAAGGGAATCACCGTTCCCGGTAGGCTTGCGGATAAATAGTACGATAATTTTATTAGAAGTAAATGTTATCAACATCGGGGATACTTTTTTCTAGTCGCCGGTTTTTGATGGCTGATTTGTAAGATTGGAAAATCGAACTCGTCTGTTGTTATGGGTACAATAGATGTACATCATGTGCCTTATTTCCACCCCCCCACCCCTCCCCCCTACAAAAAAAAAAACAAAAAAAACCGGCCTTCCTGATGATTTTTGCCGACCGTCCGTTAGGGAGTATAATTTGTGGGTTGTTCCTGCGTTAAATCTAACACGAACTCCCTTTGGAGCTATCATTGTAGATCCTGTTAGGGGGGTGGGGTGAGGGGGGTGGTGGGGGAACGTCGGGGCAAAAAATGAAGGAACTGCTCAGTTTGATGATTAAATGAGAGCAGAAGGTTTCTTGTAGTATTTCTGATCTGGTCAAAGTTTCCCTTAGTGTGGGTCATAAAAGTGCCGTGCAGAGATACATACAATTTTCTGACACTTTCTGGCGTTTCCTTTCAATAATAAAATAGAATCCACAAGAATTTTTTTTCCATTTTAAAGTGGAACAACCCCTGTGAATGGTGCTCAGTTTCAGCTGAATTTGAAACGCTATTCTAATATAGTTAATAGACATTTAGTAAAGTAAGAAACGCTGTGGACATTTCAACGAAGCGTCTCGCGACGAGTTTCGTGACGAATTTTAGCGATCGGCACGCGCTCGAATTTCGCTCTTATTACTTCACACTACCAATCAAGACAAACAATTCGCCATCTGTTTCTCTATGTGTCCTTGTAGGTATGACATGTATTTTTTGTTTGTTTGTTTTCATTGATTTTTTTATTGGCATTCATTTGTGTGTTAAGCATCGTTTTTTTCGTTCTTTTCAGTTTTTAAAATTCCTTTCACGAAGGAAAGTGTCTCACCATTAGACTATAAAGGACAAAGGTCTTTAAAGAAATCTTTAAATGTGTTTATTTATTGATGATTGCAGAGAATAGATGTGCTTGGGTATATGTAGGACTTTGTCTTAAAACGATCAAGGAAACAGGGGCGATGGCCGGAGAAAAGCGGCAAACATGTTGGCCCAAACTTCACATTGAAACCGATTACAAAAAACAGCTCATTACAATTCTGTAAAACAGAAATATAAACATGTCTTGGTGGCAAGAAAAAAGGAAATAAGCGACGGATATATAGATATGAACTTTGGGCCAACATTTTAGCCGCTTTTCTGCAGCCATCGCCCACTTGTCGAGCTTCTGATGCTTCGGAAACCTACAAAATCATCCTGTTTCCTTGACGATAGAGCGTCCCTTTTGATTGCAAACAGCAAATCAGTACTAAACATTAAAAGCTGAAGACATCCCACGTAATTGTATTTTAAAAGACGTCCATACAAAGTTATTTTAGGTGGAATCCGTGCTAAACACTCTGCAAGTTCACTGAAAGTCTTCATTTGCAATTTTTGTTTATCCTCCAACGCCTCGCTTTCATGACTAGGCACCAGTTTTTTCCCGCGTGTCCGCCATTTGTGAATACGGTATAGAAGTAAATTATATATGCTTTTCACAGCCGGTCCACAAATTTGATCTTGACTGGTCTATCTGCAACAGCAAACAATTTTTGGTATGACTCCAATGGTTCGTGGTGATACTCTAAACGGAATCGTTGAAGCAACTGCAAGAAAAAAAAATTATAGAATTTAAGAAAAAACAAAAGGGGTTCAAAAACGATTGTTATATCGGCGAATCGTAACTGACGTCACCCTTTACATCCTTGCTCATTAGCATACGAGGTAACGGCCATAGAAGACGTTGCCATGGATACAAATTTGTTCAATAGTTAAGTGAACAGTTTGCGCAAGTGTCGGCTCTTCGCAGTCAATCACAAGGAAATGGCAGCAATCGAAAAAACGGCAAAACTGCAGAGTGGAAAAAACGTTAATGAGCTCATACATTCTTTGTAAACTTTGGGATCTTTCCGCGAGAATTTGTCCGACAGTAGTTCGACGNCTGAAAGTCTTCATTTGCAATTTTTGTTTATCCTCCAACGCCTCGCTTTCATGACTAGGCACCAGTTTTTTCCCGCGTGTCCGCCATTTGTGAATACGGTATAGAAGTAAATTATATATGCTTTTCACAGCCGGTCCACAAATTTGATCTTGACTGGTCTATCTGCAACAGCAAACAATTTTTGGTATGACTCCAATGGTTCGTGGTGATACTCTAAACGGAATCGTTGAAGCAACTGCAAGAAAAAAAAATTATAGAATTTAAGAAAAAACAAAAGGGGTTCAAAAACGATTGTTATATCGGCGAATCGTAACTGACGTCACCCTTTACATCCTTGCTCATTAGCATACGAGGTAACGGCCATAGAAGACGTTGCCATGGATACAAATTTGTTCAATAGTTAAGTGAACAGTTTGCGCAAGTGTCGGCTCTTCGCAGTCAATCACAAGGAAATGGCAGCAATCGAAAAAACGGCAAAACTGCAGAGTGGAAAAAACGTTAATGAGCTCATACATTCTTTGTAAACTTTGGGATCTTTCCGCGAGAATTTGTCCGACAGTAGTTCGACGTCCATTAATACTTACTTACTTACAAACTTTGCCGAATAATGGTTACTGTTTCTATAAAAACGTTAACCACAAAAACATGCATGATAATACACATACAGGTGTATGCTGCTTATCACAGCCGGTCCACAAACTTGATTTTAACCGGTTTATCCGGAACGGCAAACAATTTTTGGTACATCTCTAATGGTTCGTGATGATACTCTAAACGGAATCGTTGAAGCAACTGCAAGAGAAAAAAATCACAGAAAAAGGATTGATAATAACTATAAAAAATTTTGAGGCAACTGGATCGTTATAAAGGATTCATAGTAACTATAATTACTAAGATGTCTCCTCCCATGACAACCAAGCAACTAGCAAATAAGTGTCCCACCCCCCTTGAATAAGTACCCTACCCCTCTCTCCCTCAATTTTGTTCGTAGTAAGCAAATGACAAGGAAACTTCTTTTCTCCTTGATAAAATTTGAAACTATTGCTTCACTGACAGCGATGTAAAGAAACAGTCTTTACAAACCTACGACCCAAACGTGGGAAAAAGAAGGCATGAACTAATCGGACGTACAAGAACGCGATGAGCTCCTTTCCTCGCGTTCTTGTGGTGCTAAATACCAAGTCCGATGTCCGTGAAAAAGACTTAAAAGGATCGGACAAAGAAACATTGCCCATAAAAACCCCTACAACGCATACCTTGCAGACAAGAATGTACAACTCCAACTCAGCCACGCGACGTCCTAAAACCGAACAAGACAATCAACCATGATGCTTTTGAATAAAACGTTTTGGCAAATTTGATAACAACAAGAAACTATAAGCAGAGCCCACGGAGCGAGGTAACAACAAACAACAACAACAAAACTTTATTAATAAACAAATAAAATTACAAAAGTATTGCCCGCAGCGAGCAAGGCTAGCTGCGGGCAGAGTAAACACAAGGTAAAGAGTGAAGGTTAGGTTAATATAAACCCGTAAAGGTGAGCATTCCTGGGAAAATTTGAAACTTAAGCTACTGACACTAAAATGGACAACAAAAAACGTGCAACGTGTTTTACAACAGTGCTGCAAAACGAGCCCTGTTATACCAGTCCTGGAAGGAAAAGATGACGCCTTGCACAAGCAGCTCATGGGAACAACCACCTCAAGTCTACACGAAAAGTGTTTTAGTGTTTTTGGTAAAGAAACATCCAGAGACAAAAATGTAGTGTAAAGCAGTTGGAGGTCCGAACAAATTTTTAAAGCTTGACTGCGTGCAGTCCCTCTCGTCCTTCAGATTTAGTGAAGGGTGTCGGAGCGCGCGATAGTCTAGCGGCGATAAAAGAGACTAAACGTAGTCTATTTCAACTAACGTAGGTCTCTTACCAAGGCACATACGGGTTCCAAATCCGAATGGAAGATTGGTAAACGGGTGATTTTCGTCTTTGTCTTTATTCAGCCAGCGCTCTGGTTGAAAGTCAAGAGAGTTTTTATAATATTTTCCAGACAATGCACAGCAGTAGAAGTCCATTACTACGATGGTCTGCAAGAACCAATGTGAACCACTAACATAATCAGCACAAATAAGGAGTATCACCGCGCATTCTTTCCTTAATTCATTAGCTCGAGAGAATGGACAACAACTTAATCCCCACACTTTTGAATTCTATACCTGATCCCCATCACCCAGGCCAATGAACGCAAATATGTTTTTCGCTCCTGGGTGACGCTTTGAGCAACGGTCAAGAAGTCTATTCCATCAAACATATTATCACCATTTGAACACTTCTATTCTGGGTTAGAAATTTAGTTTGAAGGAAAACAAACATAATCTAACCGAAATTTAACGTGAATTGAATTAAAAATATCATACATCCACTAAAAAACAGCAATTAAGATGGTAAATGTTCGAGATTTTAAACGTTTTCGCTTCAGGTTACGTGATCAAGGGTGTGGTCCGATGACGTCATATTTGCATCTGTATATAGCCAATACGTACTGTGCTATAAAATGGCTAATGCATGGCAAAAGGAGTTTAAGTTATACGGCCAGAACGTTCCCTAGCAACAGTCCCAAAAGATAGGTCAGAGAGCCCTTAAGCAGTGTTAAGGAGTGCACCAATAATACGAATTGACGATTAACCAGAGTAGCGATCTGTGAGGGGTTTTTGACAAATCGTATCCGTTTGCGTACAATTTGCCATGCGTGACGAAAACAATGACGTCATAAAATAAAAGAAACACCCTCCCCACCCCCTTAGATATAAAAAACGCCCATCTGCCTAGTACGGTGTACTTAGTGTAGTACTTACATTTGCAGGAACAGTATATCCAGATAAGACAACGTCCTGGTCTAATATCCTTCCGAGGGTTCCTGCAGTAGGGTTCAGCCTTCAATGCATGAAATAACAAGCAGAGAGATGCATGGGTAAAATTAAATTAGATTAAAATACCTTAAAATTATCAATATTCGGGAGTTTAAGCATAGACATTTTTGACCGACGCAAGTCACCCAGAAGTGGATGTTTTTGCAATCTTTGGCGATGGTTTCGTCTAAATTTTTCGGTTATTCATCTCTATCAGAACAAAGATACCAATGAGCATAACGAATCTAGCAGCGTCAAGATAATTCTAAAAGGGAAAACGCCTCACAGTATGAACATCACTTAAATAGAACGCTTTTGGTTTAACTCGCTATTATATGAACCAAACCCAGAATATACAACACCCAATTACTGTTATAAAGCCCGAAACGCAGAAAAAAAAATTTAACAGTTAATTTTTTTCAATATGTTTACCTTAATGATTCCTTGAGAGACGCCTTGAGATAGTGAAGCTTTGCAAGATTATGCGGTGTAACTTCTCCGTCTACCCCAACAACGCTCTGTATCTCTTCGTAAATTTTTTCTTGCACCTGAGGAAATCTTGCCAAGTTATATAACCACCAAAGGGCGGTTATTGATGTCTGTTATCAGGAAGGAGATAAAAAAGTTGGTTTTTCTCTCCGCATACTTTTACAAGGTTTCCGAAATGTTTTTTTTTTTGGGGGGGGGGGAGAAGAAAAATAATAAAAAAGTTAAGTCATGATAAAATTGCTAACAAAATTGATGATGACGACGACAAGGATGATAATGATGATGATCATGCTGCTGCTAATGACATATAGCACTGATTGACTACACCATTCATTAACCCTTTAAGCCCCAGTATCAACATACAAATTCTCCAAACTGATCTGCATACATTTCCTTAAAGAATTAGTTGAGAGAATTTGATAAAAGATCAAGGCATTTTCTCTTCGGTGATCATTTTATTTATTCTCATAACTTATAGATCTTTACATTGTATGGATATTGTTAGGAGAAAATTGATCTTGGTCACTATTGGGACTTAAAGGGTTAAATAATAATTCACTTTTTCTCTACGCTCACTTGATCAACACCATTAGCCACCACATCAATAGCGTGGCCATTTACTTCCTCAGGTGTCAGATCTTCCTTTGTGAGTAAATACGCCAGCACTGAAACAACTAAAATGCAAAAAAGCAGAGATTAGAATGGCCTGCCATGCAGTGTCTTCTTCAGGTGTATATGAATAGTTTCTGCTAACAACGGTCATCATGTTGAACTCTAAAAAAAAAACCAAGTCCTCCTAGTAGGGTTACCATTTCTACCCTCCCCAATTTTCCTCTGCAGTCACCTGAGTGTGATATAAAGTCGAAGATGGCGGCAACGATACAAAAAAAAAACAACAAAAACAAACACAAAAACAAAACATAGTATAACAGCTTTCAGGACCCCCAAAATAAGCCTGCATTGAAGATAAAAGTTACTAATATTATAAGTTCCAAGAATTATTTGACCTTACAGCCATTCCAGGTCAGTTCTTCATGTGTCTCGGTGGAGGGGTGAGTTAAGGGGACTTGAGTCTCCAGAAACCCTATTAAATTTCACTAGCCCTTCCACTGCCCCAGCCCCCTCCCTCCCTGCCCTCCCCCCACCCCCTCCTTCAATCTTTTGACCTTACAAGCAGCAGTGGGGAACCAGGAGAGCATAAGGGTGTGGTGGGCAAAAAATCAGCGGCATGCCAGCTATCCTTCTATGAATCCCTTAACTTTATACTCCACCTAAAAGTTTTGCAGATTGCAAAACTAAAATTGGTATTATATAAAGGGAGTAGTCTGCTTATAATGTAGCTGTTTTTATCTTGCCAGAACGAAAAAACAGCTATATAAATAGGAGACCAATGTTATAGCTTCATTTTATTATTTATTAGTACTCTATTAATTAGAGCTATGCTGTTTGTTTTATTAACTGTGCTTAATTTTCTTAATTTTTATTAAACTTTCTTGTAATTCATCCAGCCCGAAGGCTCTCATAAAAGTACAAGTGGGTTAATCAAATTTTTAACAGGTAGCATCTATCCAATCAGCTTGCACAAACCTTGAGAGTTATCAGAACTGTCAGTTCCTTTCTCTGCCATTTCTTTTAGTTCCATCATCTTTTTTTCCACAAAACTCTGTCCTATGTCTAAGATAGTATCACCACACTTGAGGAACTTTTTAAAAAGTGGTATGTCAATATCACTACTAGGAGTATGTATGTGAAACACCATGTGAAAAATGTGTGAAAAATGTCCTATTTTCACACTCTTTTCACACATTTTTCACACACTTTTCACATGCATTTCACACACATATTTCACGTGCATGTGAAATTTTGCATAGTGAAATATATGTGAAAAGGGTGTGAAGCGACGTCATCCCTTTCACACATATTTTCACATACACTTCACATGCGGTTTCACACAGGCTTTCACATGTAAATCCTCATTTAAATTCACACATATTTTCATACACTTCACATGGGGTTTCACATGGGCTTTCACATGTACTTAATCCTCAATGAATGGCAAAACATCTAGAATTTCACATGCTACTAATTCACACATTATTTTCACATACACTTCACACGGGGTTTCACGTGAGCTTTCACATGTAAATCCTCAGAGATCGGAGATCATGAATGGCAATAGAATTTTACTACCCTGCGAGCAGAGGTTTGTTTACACGTAAACAAACTAACTACGCGACAGACAAGCCACCCAAACGACTTCGTAAACGCTAAAAGCCATGCAAGAGAGAAAACTCTGCTTGCAAGGTAGAATTTCCCATACCACTTCACACAAATTGGGTATGTTGTTTCACAAGCAAATATTCAGGAAATCAACTAGCTTATAAAGATCAATTTACACACAAATTTACATTTGCACTTTCCGCTTGCAATTAATTTGTCTGAAGTACTGTCAACTGCATGCATGGTTGTGTTTTCATATAGTCACAAACAACTTCAGGTTTATAGCCTGATCTGCTGGTTTATTTATAATTTTATGGTATTTTCAGAAGAACTTGATTTATATAAAACTGGCAAAAAGTGAAAAGCAAACTGGATAGAATTGATTGGCAAAGGAAATTGGTTTCATATTATCAACACGGTGAAACTCAGTTCAACTGACTCACATGTCCTAAAATGAACTTAAATATAAATTTAAGTTACTCAAAAAAGGCACTTAAGGCTAATGGAAACATCAATGTCTAATCCTGTTTATTTGTCAATATTTATTGCCTGGAGGATAATAATAAAAACAAAACTTTCTATCATGCTCAGTTTTTATACCTTTAATTCCTACATCAATAAAATAACTAATAATATACTAATTCTTGGTTAGAAATATTTCTTATAAATTGTAATAATAATGATAGTAAATGACATAGTGGCCAATTTACAATTTCCACTTATTAAGGAATACCAAGTTACAGAAAAGCAATCTAGCACTCAATTTCAGTGAAAATACAAAGTAAATAAACAACTTTGAAAAATACGAGCATGTTTATGGAAAAAAATAATGCTAACTGACTGCTTCTTTCAAAGTGGCTGAACAGCTTTCTGAACTGAAGGTCCACACATCAGACTAGATAGAGCTGCCTTTTATTTTTGACCTTATTGCAGATGTATGAATATTATGAATCGAAGGTCAAATAAACAAACCTACTCAAATTTTATAGGTTTACTTCAACTCTCAAGTCATTATAAATTAACTGGAAACTTAATTGCTTCCAACTTGTAGTATACATTGCATGCATATCGGAAACTTATGCTATTTCGTCTCCTATTTTATTTAACATTGGTCTTGACAAGTCTGCCACAGCCTACTAGCGTCAGAACATAAAATTTTCAGAGTATTCCATTGACGATTTGCAACAAAGAGTACAGTTTTTTCTGCAGTAAACAAAAAGGAATCAATCAATGGCATATCTGTGCATGCATCTTAAATTAAGATGTATCTTTGAAGGTTTAAGCTTACGCAAAGTTATTAGAAAGCCAAAGTAAGCTCTTGTTAACGAACCACGATATCAAGAAGAACATACCTTTCTGCAATAATCCAGCTGAGTTGCTGACTTGGAAACATGCTTTTTGTGAAGAATTTTGCAATTAATCACTATCTCTCGAAAATAACATGGGTATTATTGAAAGACAGTCTTTCTATCTATCCGAAAGTAACGAAAATATTCTGTTTGCATCGCTGTGTTGCTTGTGAAGTCCGCGTGAATTTGAACTATTCAACGGAACTTCATTTTACAATTTTCTATTGGTTGAAAAGCCGCACGTGACATTGTAAATCAAATCGCGCATGTGCTAAAATCACGGGGAAGCCTGGGAAACAACAAACATGGCGGCTAATCTTGCGATGGAGAAAGTGCACTCGTTTGAGTCGAAAAAGCGGTTATTTTCAGCATTGATTAAAATATTCCAGTGCATTTGAAGTGTTAGAAGCAAGAGAAAAACTTAACATTGTTCCTTCAAGTTGGGAAACCTTTGAGAATTTAAGGAAATGCTGGCCTTCACTACATGAATCTAAGTTGCGACTAAATACGTGTTGTGGACGTTCTTCATGTTGGATAAGCTCAGGTATGGAAGCTGATTGAACCAAAGACAACTTGAGCAAACCAAGAGCATGCCAGTTGTTTGCTTCAAGGAATCGTTAGTTGAACGAACGGTATCAAAAGAAAACTCAAAAGGCATGCAAAGCAAGGAACTGTTCGCATATGTTCAAGTGGACTTTCAACGTTACAACGAGGAACGTTACAGTAAGAAACAAAACATTCATAAAGTGTAGTTACATATGTCGTATATGTTAGCAAAGTAAGTTTTCTGATGGAGTAGTAAAATTAAGTCCGTTTTGTCCTCAATGAAGATCTGTTAAAAGAATGGTTTAATTCTCAGGATTTAGCCCTCCCCACTTAACAAAAATCATGGTACACATCTTTCTGGGTGGAAACTCAAGTGGTAAGATACACAACCCACAAATTTAGATGAGACAGTTGATAAAATACATAAATTTATATAGCATGTTCTAGCAAACAATGAAGACAATGATATTTGTAAAGATGCACATGTGGATCGGATACTCGAAAGGTTTTAATCAAGCCAAATATAATGAAGAATGTACTGTGTATTCAGGGGTTTCAAAATGTTTTGAAGTAGGCGCCAACTCTGGAAAAGCAGGCGGCTGTGACAATCGAGATTGTTTGTCACAAGCTAATTGTTATGACCAGCGCAGCCAGCAATATACAGTTGAGTAGCCGCAGAACTCTAGTCTCTGGCTTGTTTTGAAACCCCTGTGTATTTAATAATAATTAATACAGTTATTGACTGAGAGATCTGGTTGCAAGCTAGTTCCTGAAAAGAGCTTTGAACGTTAATTCCAGTCCGCTACTTTACAAGAGGGCCCTTCTGGGGCTTGGCACTTTGGTATATTGGGGTTCGCCTTTAATGGTGATGATGATGATGATTTGTAACAGCACATTTGTTGTGATCACTTGCCTTAAAGGTCTGACGCATTAAAGTATAGTGAATTTTCTAGGTTAGTAACTTATCAAATCTTATTCTTCAAAAATTCATGACCCTCATAGTCAACTTAGTTTGATATTTTTGAGCTATGAGCCATAGAATGCTAGATGTGGCATGGCATGAAATTTAATTTTGCAGTTTTTATGAGCCATGAAATGCCTTTCATGGGGTATTCACTAGAAATTCATGGCATTTTCATATAAATATGGTTCATAGTGGTTGCATTTAACAAGCCCTGAAAAAAAATTCACATGCTCACTCTGACATGCCTAAAGTGTTCACATGCATGTGAAAAATTTCACATGCATAGCATCTATTATGCATGTGAAATTTGAAGTTCACATGCATGACAAAATTGTTTCACATGTATGAAAAGATTTCACATGTAATAAAGTACATGGAAAAAAAGTTCACACACATGACAAAAATTTTTCACATGTATTACAAAATTTCACACGCATATCAAAAAGTTCACATGCATGTGAAATGCTGATGTGGTGAACTTGTATTTTTTCCAACATTGATTTCACATGGTTCCTTTTTTTCACACACTTTTCACACCCTTTTCACACGATTTTCACACACATAGCCCTAATAGTGTATATGGCCCAGCAATTCTGTGCACTGCACTGAAAATAAGCTTGTGGGAAAGGGCAAAGAAGTTTTGAACCTCATTAATGAACTGCAGCGCTTCTGGTGGGATTGGATCATCATACAATCCAAGACGGGTGTCAAATGCCACAGTACCAATACCTACAGGCAAAAAATATACCAATATGTTGAATAAACATTACAGTAACTTTAAGGCTGACCTTCGTTCTTTTAGCCTACAAGAAACCTAATGGTTTTTCCTTGAAATGGCATCTGAGGTCAAATGACCTGCACAGAAATTCCAGAAATTCCAGAGTCGACTCTACTGGCACAACCAATGACAAGCATTCCCCAGATGTCATCTGAGTATGGAATTTCTGTGCTCGTTCCCAAGATATCATTTCACAGGGGAACCAGTAAAAGTGCGGACATCATGAAATGTTAGCTGTTAATTGTTGTCAGCTGTTGTTTATCTTCATTCAGTAAGCTTTGCAGTCAATTGATTTTATTTGAAGAGCTAGTTTGCAGGTTGTTCTGATTGGTGGGTTAATTCCATGAAATGATGTTCTTACAAAGAAACTGATCCTCAGCATGCAGTGCATCTAGATATGCTGGTGGGTGTGGGCTAAACATACCTCAGACCTTTGGTGCCTCAGGTTTCCATTTAATTTACTGCTTCTTGGTCAATGTGCTCAATTATAAAAAATATTGCTGAATAAAATATGAGGATTTAAACCTCAGGCTTTACTGGTGGCATTTTTTTTTTAAAATCTTATGCAACCAGTGCCTTTAATAATGGAAGGTCAGAACCTGAGAGATGTGAGATGGCATATCATTATATCTGACACTTTAATTTTTTTTATTAGTCCATATGATACTGACAACTTACTTTCAGTTGACCATTTACTCAATTCCCCTTCCAAGTCAGGAATGTGATCATTTGGTCCACAATCTTTGTTCAGTTGAACAAACCTTGCTACTGTATCCTTGGTAACAGCAATAAAGTTGTCGATGTTTTCCTCTATTATTTTTGGACGCATGATTTTTGGAGCAATACTCTTTCGTATTCTGTACCATTCTTCTCCATCGCTACGATATGAAAACAACAAAACAAGTAAAGGGTTGGATTGTGCTACACAGTAGTATTAAAATGCCATAATATGTATTGAAATGAATGAATATATAAACAATTTCCATTCCAACTCCCCTACAAAAATGGTCTCATTATTACTACTTCCTCACCTCCCCGATGGAGGTGTCTTGCTTAATGTCTTCTTACTATTTTTGTAATGCTCAACTTTTTATCACGAACCCTAACCCTAACCCTAACCCTGAAACAGCATTCTTTCAAAAATCAGACAAACCCCAACCCCGTCAACACGTTTTACTGACACCCATTTGAATTTGTCCATTTCTTCATGCATACTCACCCCACCCTGCTTCCCATCCCCACTCTGCCCTGTTTCTGGGCATTTTGCTCTTTGATGCATTTGAAAATGTTTATTATTTTCTGCTTCATATCTTTATGTCAGCTGCAATAAGTATCTGCCATTTCAATTGTGTTCGTCTTGAAAAGTACTGTCACCTTGGAGAGGGGACATTCTATTTTTTATTTGCACCCAACCCCCCCTCCCCCTCCCCCCACTCCCTCCCNTTCTTACAAAGAAACTGATCCTCAGCATGCAGTGCATCTAGATATGCTGGTGGGTGTGGGCTAAACATACCTCAGACCTTTGGTGCCTCAGGTTTCCATTTAATTTACTGCTTCTTGGTCAATGTGCTCAATTATAAAAAATATTGCTGAATAAAATATGAGGATTTAAACCTCAGGCTTTACTGGTGGCATTTTTTTTTTAAAATCTTATGCAACCAGTGCCTTTAATAATGGAAGGTCAGAACCTGAGAGATGTGAGATGGCATATCATTATATCTGACACTTTAATTTTTTTTATTAGTCCATATGATACTGACAACTTACTTTCAGTTGACCATTTACTCAATTCCCCTTCCAAGTCAGGAATGTGATCATTTGGTCCACAATCTTTGTTCAGTTGAACAAACCTTGCTACTGTATCCTTGGTAACAGCAATAAAGTTGTCGATGTTTTCCTCTATTATTTTTGGACGCATGATTTTTGGAGCAATACTCTTTCGTATTCTGTACCATTCTTCTCCATCGCTACGATATGAAAACAACAAAACAAGTAAAGGGTTGGATTGTGCTACACAGTAGTATTAAAATGCCATAATATGTATTGAAATGAATGAATATATAAACAATTTCCATTCCAACTCCCCTACAAAAATGGTCTCATTATTACTACTTCCTCACCTCCCCGATGGAGGTGTCTTGCTTAATGTCTTCTTACTATTTTTGTAATGCTCAACTTTTTATCACGAACCCTAACCCTAACCCTAACCCTGAAACAGCATTCTTTCAAAAATCAGACAAACCCCAACCCCGTCAACACGTTTTACTGACACCCATTTGAATTTGTCCATTTCTTCATGCATACTCACCCCACCCTGCTTCCCATCCCCACTCTGCCCTGTTTCTGGGCATTTTGCTCTTTGATGCATTTGAAAATGTTTATTATTTTCTGCTTCATATCTTTATGTCAGCTGCAATAAGTATCTGCCATTTCAATTGTGTTCGTCTTGAAAAGTACTGTCACCTTGGAGAGGGGACATTCTATTTTTTATTTGCACCCAACCCCCCCTCCCCCTCCCCCCACTCCCTCCCTCCCTGAGGGTGAGTTTCTGAAAAGTGGGGCTAAGATATTATTAGGACCCTTCGGACAGAGTCCGACTGCGGCCCCGCGTTTTTCTGACACCCATTTGAAATAGCATTTATACTATTACGTAACATTTACTTACGCACTAAAGACTCCGACGAAATAATTCCTTCTTTTGCGCTGCTCTCTCCAAATCTCCAATATCGGCGGTCTGCGTGGATATCTTCCTTCAGAACGGAAAACTTTCTCAAAATCATCGGGATCAATGGTGTAAACCGCAGGTTTGCCGCCAAACAATATGTCGCCCCTAAAAAGAGGACCATGCTCCGTGAACAGCCGATTAGTTAGTTTGTAAACTTTGGTAAAACCTTCGGTTTCCTTAAAATGTTTAATTGTCGATGTCAAGCCAAAATTAGGCGATGGAATATCACGGAATGGTCGCGCTTCAACTTCTGCAGATTTTGCGGGCCTTGGGTCGTCGAAA